AAATACGTGCTTTTACTTTCCTTGTCCACTTTTATACTGGACTTTCTGGTTTGCCCTGCTTACGCGACATTGTTGGGACAAACCAAATTGCAATCACAGGAGCCATGTTGCTCGCGTGACTTTCAAGAGTTCAATCACAGGAGAAGACAAGCAGCACTTAAAACTGAAAACGATCCACAAGAATTTCTTGCGGACATAAAAAAATAAAATCATGATCTGAAAACATTCACTGAACATCCCACCGGTTTTGTTTGACTGAGCAATGTGCAAATCAACAAAACTTTGTTGTTCATTAGGGAAAAAATGACCTAATAAACGCCCGGGGCGTCTATTTAATTTTTGGCCGGTCTAAGCGGGGAGTTTAATAGATAAGAGGCGTTTAAAAGAGAGAGGCCTTTAATCTCATAACTGTAACAAGCTCAACAAAACTAATATGCTTAGGGCGAAAAGATCAATGGAGCTTAAAAATGGCGGAATATCCACTCCATCATTTGATACGTCTAGGCCGTCAAGAGATTCATATCACTGTTACAAATCCCATGACGTCGATGAGTCAGAATGCTCGCTCAGGGTTATTCAACGCAGTGTTGCTATCATTAGTCTATCCTTACTCTAAACTTGACATTGAACAAGATGAAATACGCAAAGCCTGGTTTGTTAATCAAGGGACGAAACTCAATGAATTAAAGGGTTTTGCTGCTTTTTGCTAATTCCTAGTATTTTGGAGTAATCGCATTGGGGGCGTCTATTAGAGACGTGCGTCTAATAAAATTTTCACAGCGTAGAAGGGGCGTTTATTAGATAAGAGGCGTTTATTTGGAAGTGGGAGTTTATTAATTGGGTCATTTACGGTAGTCTTAATTATTTCCCCACTAATTCATAGTTGCACAAATCTGGTTGTACACGGTTTTGCGCACGCAAATTTTACCTTAACCCTTGTAATATTGTTCATGCACCAACGAGAGACCTTTACAATGTCAATATATATTAGTTTTTTCTTCGTTTTATAACATTCTTTTATTAAAAGTGAATTATCTTCGAAAAGAACTTTTAAAGTGTCTCACAATATAAGGAAATCCAAGACAGTCTTGGATTCTGGATTCTACGCCACGGATTCCAGACTCAGGTACTCGATTCCGGTTGATAGCGGAACTTGGATTCTGGATTCCAATCGTCAGTGAGATTCTGGATTCCTTGAGCTGTATTCTGGATTCCAAAAACCAGGATTTCGGATTCCACAAGCGCCTTATATGGGTCGAAAAGTGTGAGAGTTCATTTAAGCGCACTAACATTGTTCAAAGATTAGGTGTCATCGGTGGCCTCACGCCAGCACCCCGATAACCTATAAAGATCAAATCCAAAAATTCAAACAGGCATTTCGATTTCTATATCAAACTAAAAACTACTATTTAACCCAAAGTTTCACATCCCACACAACTAAAACTATCCTAATAGGGTCTGTTGGTTTGCACAGAGCTCACTGTTGACTATTTTCTGATCCACATGAATTCCCTGAGGATGCAATTCATTAACAAAAAAAACGTTTTTACATCCCTTAATAAATAATGTAGACTTCTTAATGAAAATTGTAGTTCCTATTACGTGTACCGGCCACAAATAGTTGTGATGACTATATCAAATAATCATTACTACTATCCACATTAACGATTTCATCAACGCCTAAGAGGTTATTGTTCACTTTGTATTCACGAGGCCAGAGAGCGGGGACAACACATCGAAAAAGTTGGTAGTATCTTATTAAGCTGTTATGAGAGCGGAATATACAAATGTATCAACGTTTTATTCAGTCCAGAAAGTCATCACTGAAAATGCGAATTTTAGATTTTAAAAAATTGCTAGATTCATTCGTTAATGAAATGGGGCCTTCTAGCCTTTTTAGCTTAAAAGCTTCAGTTTAAATGCGTATCCAATGATTGTTTTTTGTAAAACATCTGTTCGAGGAAGCACATATTGTCTGGAAATTTCTATAGCTTGAGAAAGACTAAAAATGATTGTCTTATTTGTCTTTCGTTTTTGAGAAACACCAGAGTAACGAGAGTTTACAGGACTCTTGGAGTAATTTCACAAGCGCGCATTGGATCTCTCACTGATCGTTTTCACTGAAACGCCCCTCACACCTGGCCTGCACCTATACTTTTCAGGCTAAAATTTGGCTAAGCAGTAAGCGGGCCGTAGATATCAGATATCAGTGAATCAATCTTGATGAAAGTTTCAGACCTTACTATATACATTATGAAGATTATGTGAAGAGATTTTAAAAAAATTCGTTCGAGTCGTTTCGGCGATGTACAAAAAAGCGCTAAAAGTCCAAATTTTGAATGAAGTCTCACTTATACAGGTGGAGAGAAAACGGGTTAGTTTTCAAGATCGCAAGAATGAAAAAACACCAAAATTTCCTGACATCAAAATATGCCTGTTATTAGGCAGCATTCTGACGCTACTTAACAGGTCTGACTTACAAATAATTGGAGTCATTTATAACGTTTTTATTAAATAATCTATCGCGGCTCTTGAAAATTTAAGGTTTGATATATATTTTCGTTTTAGTCGAATTTAAACATACAGAATGTTTTACTTCTTACGGAGATTGTTTGCTAAACACCAAACTCTGAGTTCCTAGCGTTGGATTTTCAGTAGCTGGTCTAGATTGCCCAGCACCCCAATAACCTATATAGATGAAATGCAAAACACAAACCATCTAGTAGATTGAAACAGAAGTTTCGATTTCTATACCATCACTATTCCAATAAGGTATGTTGGTTTACACAGAACTCAAGTCAAGGTTGACGGTTTCTGATCCACAGTAATTCCCTGAGGATGAAATTCAAGTTCAAAAGCAACAAACCTTGAAACACAGAAACACCGGCACAAAACAGATCGTAATCTACCAATCACAAATCAAAACTGTGATCTATTGACTGGCCGTTGGAAAACACCTACAGCAGGTTTTCTAAGAGGCCAGCTAAGATGTAAAGGCTAGTTCAGATTTTGATTGACGTCGCAGAAAACCCCAAACTCCAAATTAAACACGTTTTTGACATCACCGGTCGGGTGTTATCCGAAACAGCTAGTCGCTTTTCAGTCAAAGCTACGGAAACGAGAATGAAACAGGTGTTCCACGAAACCACACTTTCGGACATAATGTTCCCGTATTTTAAGTTTTTTGCAAAAAGCGTGCTTACTTTTCTTTTGGTTGATTCGAAAAAATAGTGCCTTTTTTTTCTCTTTTGGAGGAAAATGCTTCGTGGTACTTCCACTGGAAATTTAATACTGGCAACTGAGCATGAAACTCCCAACACATAACAAGCAATAGCCATTTCACAAAACCGGCTCTAATACCCCGGCGTTGTGCTTTGATAGACTGTGGTGGCGTACTTTTTGGTATATTAGAGACCTTCAGATCTGAGGACGGCGAGGCAGCGAAAACCGGTCGCTGAAAAAGTGAATTTGCGTTCTTTCAATCTTCATAACGATTACTTCAAGTCACTAACCTTGTCAAATGTAGGTGAACTCCCCTAAACGTTGAATTCCTAAGAACCATATCCAAGTTCAGAAAGAGAGAGGAAATATCGTCGTCGCTCGCGTACTTCCTCTGTAGAAAGTGAAATTAGGCATTTTCACGTCGCAGTCGTGCAGTGACGGAAAAGAAATGTGCAAAAAGTGTGATGCACGTCAGGGTAGTTGTTTTGGTCATTTAATAAACCTAAGAAAAATTGCTTTTTTGACGTTCTCGTTGCCGTCGCCGTCGTCGAACTGTTAAGGTCCCTAAATAGTAATTACTAGAATAATTTCTGTCAATTTTCCACTGCCAGCATAATTTACACTTTTGACAAGTTTTGCAGCAGAGAATTGTCATTTAAAGATCGTGCCCTGGGGGGTACTCCCTAGAATGGCCTATACGGGGAGACTCCGCCCGAAAGAGATACCTTCAGTTTTTCAGGCTTCAGGTATATGAAAGGGTAGGAATTTCACTAGTTGAAGTATACGAAAGGGTAGGTAAATCTGTCATTTGGGTCTGTGAAAGGGCCCAAAAGGGCTAACAGATGAATTACATGGCTTCATAAAGTCAAGAAAACGTTCTTTTGATTTCTGTTTAAAAGACAGTGCATTTAGAGCAGTTAAAAAGGATACAAAGTTCTAAACAAGGTTTGTGAAAGGGGTACCTTTTTCGTGAAAAATGGTATATCATAAGGGTAAGGGGTTGGACCTTCACCGTATAAGAATTTTTTGAGTACCCCACGGGGATCGTGCAGCCAATTTTTTGTGGACTCGAGATCACTGTTACAGGCAAATTTAACTGAGAAGCAAAATCAATTTTTGCCTGCCTATTGTCACATTCATGGGACCTAGGTCAGTGACCCTGGACTTTTTATAATATGCACTATAGAGCTAATTCACTCACGTGGCCAGCATCTGTGCTAATTTACACGAACATAGAAAGTTTTTACATAAGACAAGAGTTCAATAAACCTCTTCTTGTATGTTGTGCTTTCCCAATAGCCGGTCCCAGGAGAACTTGGCCCATTGTCTTTTCATAAATTATGCGTAGATATGCACGAATATGAATCAGACGAAATTTGAAAGAAACGGTTTCCCGAGAGTATTATCACGTGACCTGTATTGAGAAAACAAAACATACAAACTAAAAGGTCTATTCCCACAGGGTTGACTTGGTACACCAACATGGCCGCCGTTTCATTGTTTTGGAACACCAATACGGCTGCCTTGACGGAGTCTATAAAACTTACAATTGGCAACAATTGCCTGTTTTTAAATCGTAACCCTTTTTGAAGTTAAAGTAGATACCGTGAACGACAGCAACACTCTCTTGTCTCAAAATGCAGCTGTTTTGACAACCTACAAGTAACCGGGAGCACTAAACCTGTCGCACGAGTTACAATCCTGGGTCATAACATCGTATGCACACATGTCTGACAAGCAAAAATACTCTGTACTTTTATTCTACTACAGGATTTAAAATGAGCTTGGTTAAGCTTGTCATCGCTCTGTTTTCCATTCTGCTGATAACTCAATCAATCTTTGGGTCTCACTTGAAGCACGATCATGTTAAAAGGAATCCTGGATCGTCTACCAATGACACTGAGGTAAAATATATTGTCTTTAAAATAAGTTACGGTCGGCGCTGAAGTCCCGAGCTAACTCAAGTAAATTAAGGCATGGGTCAACAGCTATTATCCCGTAAAAATGAAGGGCGTAATTTATAATATGAACTGTTTATCACGAAGCACATAATACCAAAAAAATATATAAATAAACCACAAAAAAATTATATTTCAGAACGCACAAATATTATGCAAATTAGATAAGGTGACCTTACGGCTTCACAAAGTCTCAAAAAATCTTTAAGAAAAAATGGCCACACTTTTTGCAGGAGATACTCTACTTAACTGGTACAATAAAATACAAAATAAGCCGCTACAATACTGCTCTTGGCAACTTTGAAATTTCTCGTTCATTTTGAAAATAAATGGGTTTTCCAACTAGCACCAGGAGCTCCTGCTAGTACCCAGCCTCCTAATACTATGCTTTTCCTTTAAAAAAATCTGACATTGTTAAGCGCACAAATGACATACCTAACGACCTTAAAATTATTAAACTAGTAGAAAAATTAAGGAAACAAGAAAAAGTGTGCCCATTTCAGTTCAAAGCTTTTCTGGGACTGGCGAGTCACGTGACCTCATTCTCATATTTGGTGTAGGCCAAAAAGACAAAAACAAGCAGTGTATGTGTCTGACAAGTTTTCAACCTGCTACTGCTAATGCATCGAAAGATAGACAACCTCCTCACTTTTCGACTTAATAAACTGTCAACTGGGGACTCCCGGCATGCATTAATTAACTTGAGAAAGTCAATTTTGGTGACTTATTTTAAATCGAACTTCTTAACTTCTTCTTCTTATTGGACCTAAAGACCCTCTCAAAGAGACGACACTTCCATCGCTGTATTAAGATGCTATAATATATGTCAGGGGAAATTTGACATCAGGCGCAAAAGTAGTTTTCCGTTATCAAACTCGCAAAAGCAACTATTTACCCCTTCCTCGCGTGCCCACCAATTGGGGCAAGCAAACTTTCATATTTCGAGCCTCCAAGGACTGGAACAACCTAGACAATGACATTAAAAACCGAAATTCATTGTCCTTAGTTTAGGTAAACCATAAAACTTTGTAAATAAATCCCCCATCTAACTTTTACTATTTTAAAATTTAGTTTTGTATGTTAATATCAATTTTTATCTCTTTTCTCAGTTCTATAATTTTTGAAGTAGGTTATTTGGCTTTTTTGTCATCTTGTCATTTATGATTTTCCGGGCCCCACTGAAAACCGCCAAGGCGTCTGCAGCCATGGGCTCCCTAGATAACTGATATTACTATTATTATTATTATTATTATTATTATTATTATTATTACTATAATTATTGTTATTAATTCATAAAGAAAATACAAAGAAAATTAATTTTTAATGAGTGATTGAAAATCAGATAGAAACTGCTCAGTTTTTGCATCCTTTATTTTTCCTTCTAAAATCACTTTGATTCTGACGGAGTTTTTCAAACATTCGACACAGTGTTTTGGGCGTAACCACTCGAACAATTCGGTAACCTTACTTTATCGAACTCAAGCGAACTTAATCGAACGATCGATTGGGTTCGATCAAGTTCGGTAAAAAAACTTCACAAAATCGAAGAAAAAGTTTGCGTGAGGGTTCGATTAAGTTCTTTTTCCGAATTCAATCAAACCAGTCTCGAAACCAGTCGAAAATAACTTATAATCGAACGTTTCAACCAACACTTTTAAAAAATACGTAAGGATTCTCTGAAAAAATCCTTTTCAAAGAATTAGGAAAGCAGCAAAGAAATCACGGCAAAGAACCAAAAAAGAATCAGATGAAACGAACAATTGATAGTGGGTGCAGGAACGCCTGACGAACCCCTAAGAACGTCCGTGGGGAGTCTGATAACACCACAGGAAGCCCACACAATCTGTGTGTAACCGATTGTTTTTTATAGTAAATGTACTGGATTTACCGTTTGCTTCACCTACGGCGATATATCGCTTAAGTATGTATATAAATTACTGTCAAATAAGCGTTGAACTCAGAGTACCTGCGGTATATTGTCGTGCAAAAAACCGTTTTTGAGGCAAAGTTCTTTGCGATTTGTCCTTAGATAACCCGCCTTGATTACAATGTTCAGCTTGGCGAAGTGTAAATGTCAATGAATACAGCCCCTCCGATTTCATTTCTGAGCGTCAAATGTATTTAAACTCACAGAGGAAAAATTAGTGATAAAGTACTCATTCCAGTTTGTATTCTGAAGAATGACCGTAATAGACGATAAGTTTTCTTCACAGATACAGGGACGACAGGGCTCGTCCTCGATCTCTCTTAAAGAAGGCGAGGAGCAAAACAAGCGAAAAGGTAAACTATGTGGTGACGTTTCTTGAAAGTCCAGGAAACAGCTGTTTTGTGGACCAAATTATTCATCACATTTGATTTAACATCAGTAGTATAACTGTAAGTGTGAAACTCTGAAGATGTTTCTTGCTTTTAGATGTCATTGCTGCTGCTACACTAGGCTTTACCGTCCTTCAGCATGTTTTATCTGAGCTTGGCAGCGTAAACCGTAAGGTCGCCATCGGTATTTCGAATAAGAGTGGAATGAAATGGCACGCAATCAACTCCAGACTAAAACATGGGACGTCAGATCAAGTTTTGCCTTACGAAATTCTTTCAGGTAAAATTAATGATCATAACTGGGTTTGAAAGCCTTTCTTTTAGTACACTCTATTTTTTCTGTAAGAATAGATTTTATAAGAATATAATAAAAATAATAATAATAACAATAATCGGATAATGAAGTAACACTTTTATGGCGCTAATTTCTTGAGATCATTAGCGCTTTACAATAAAATTATGATAGAATTATTAAGAAAAAAATGAATAATTAAATCGTAATAGAAAATATGCATGTTACAATGTGTTTTAAGTCTAAAAGAGGATATAGAAAACTTTGAATGGTCTCTAAGTCTATCTAGCAATGCATTCCAAAGAATGAGTGCTGCAACTGAAACTGAGGCTCTGCCGTGACCATAACTTTTCAGGTGGTATTGCTCATGTGCTAAGTAGTTTTTTTAGTTGATCTCAGTGATCTGCGGTTTGCTGGTGAATTTAATCTTTAAGATAATCAGGAGCAGTGTCAATTAAACGTTTAAAAGTCATCAGTAGGATTTTATATTGGATCCTCAACTCACCAGGTAGCCAGTGCGTGCAGCTGTTTTAGCACAGGATTAACGTTTTCCTGCTTGTTGGTATAAGATAATAGCTAGCCTGGCGACTGATCATGAGTTTTGAACGCGTTGGAGTTTTATCTCAGTTGATTAGGAACACCACAAAGAAGTGAATTGCAAAAATCAACTTTTGAGGTCACAAGGGAATGTATCAAGGCCTCTGCTGCTTTTGCTGGCAAGTGCTTTCATATATTCGCGACCTATGTTATTTCAGTTGAAGAAGGCTGATTTACAGGATGTCTTTACATGCTCTTCCAATATCATGACAGTGAAGGGTGTCAAATACCGCATCGATGATCTTTCGAGCAGTTTTTGAGGGATTAATCACTGCTTCACCAACGGTAACTGGAGGCAATAGGTGGGGTGCGATCATGATATTTTGCATTGAGAATCAAAAGCTCTGTCTTAGGTCTGTCCAATTTAAGCAAGTTTTGCGACATCCACCTGTCAATATCAGTTACGCAGGCTTAAAATTCGATCCTTGTTTTTGCCAGTTCCAGTTCAATGATGATTTGAAAATCAAAACCCAGGGTCAAACCCGGACCTTTCATATCCTAATTTCTCTCCCTTTCCACTAGACTACCTCACCTACACACACTGACAAACTGTCTTTCTTAACGTTTACCAGTGGCGGATCTATGGGAGGGGCCTGGGGGTCCGCCCCCCCTCCCCCCTTATTTTTAGACCAAACTGAGGCCCGAAGGGCCGAAGAAAAATTTTTTGGAGACCGGATGACCGGGTCCCCCCTTATCTCAAGGTCAGGATCCGGCACTGGTTACATCAGTAACAGGTGACCCTGAACCTTTCCGTAAATTTTAACGAAAATTCAACTTGGGTGACAACGCCGTTCTTTATAACACTATTCTGAAACTTATTAATAAGCCATAAAAAGAAAAGAAAGAAAACCACAACCTTGACGGTACTAATTACCATAAAATTTTGCGAACTTTTTCTTTGAATTTCTCCAAGAATTATTGTTCATTTGAGAAGCTATATCAAAAAATCCACTCAGTGTTTATCCGATATCCAGACACCTCGAAGTTGGCCTTAAAAACTCGGCTGCGCCTCGTTTTTCAACCCACTTCTCGGTGTCTGAATATCGGATGAAACACTGCGTGTCGTTATAGATATATTACTTCAAAAACGTATTTAATAAATACAATAATTACTTAAGCTTACCATATTTCGAGATGCAGCTCCTAAAAGCCAGCAAGTAAGGCAATGATCGCTTGAGCCTTTATAATTCTCGTACGCATCTAGCAAGGTGAAAAACAAAAACGATGCCATCCGAAATCGGATTATCGGCTTTGACAAGCGACGCACTTCTCAACCAAAAACCCAATAAACAAACCAGCCATGAATAAGAGAACACTCTTGATAGCAGCTGTATTTCATTTTGTACATCCAGTGGAAAAAGACAGTTAAAAACATCACAAGTTAACTCAAAACTCTGTCAGCTTCAGCTGTCAAAGTAAACAACTTTCAAGATGCTGCATAAATTTTACGCATGAACTCACCTGTCAAATTTTAACCAATCGGAGCATAAAAATTGGACGTGGAGCGTGACCAACACGTAACCATGGTAAGAAAAGGTCTTCCCCGCCTGTCTTTTAAAAACACTGGCTGAATTTTTGCGTCTGAGGTCAGTTTGAAATCAAAATCGTAATAGTGCGGTGCGATACTGACATAAACACAACATATTTGATATTGATATGATCATTTGAAAACGAGTAAATTTTCAGCGGTTAACTTCAAAAAATACTCGACCTCGATGGGTCGACACCTGAGCCCGCAATACGGCCAGATAATACTGGTCAGCGGATACCCTGTTTTGACAGCTGTCAATTGATGACAACATTGATGTGCAATCAGCTTTCTCCTGGGCTCCCAGAGTAGCTACAAAGTCTGAGAGTAAACATTGGTATGCCTGTGGTGCGGACGGACGGTCGGTCGGTCGCTCGGTCGCTCGGTCGGTCGGTCACGTGATTACCAAATTTTCTGGGATGGGTAGATTTATTTACCCATGGTGCTCCGCAGGCGCGCTTCGCGCGCGGAGCTCCGCTAATACTTTAGACGACACGGATACAGAAACAGTTTCCGCTTTCCCTTTTCGTCTTTATTGAGCTTTAGTTGTCTCTGCTTTACAAGACGCGGGTGGCTATGCGATTTCCCGCCAAAATAATGTCAAATTGCATTTGGGTTGCCACACCTGTTGATTGAGTTATTTTACATTGGTATGCCTGTGGTTGTGGCCTATTCCTGGAGAAATATATAAGGTGGGACGAATTCTCAAATAATATTCATCACTTTTTACCAGAATGCATTGCGTCACGAACAACTCAAATAAAAACACGAGGAAGTTCGGTGGGTGAGAACGTGCATCGTTCGCTGCTCAGACTGAGAGTTTTCTTTGTGGCAAATTTTCTACAGCACGGTTAGAGGTCTTACCAAATTTAAGACACGCAGGAGGAGTCTTTCAGATGAGTACGATCGTTAACTTGGGGATTGGATTTCAATTTAAGAGCCTTTGACTCGTTCAGGCGTTTAATAAACTTAACGAGGAAACAAGCATTTGCTCTTCGACTCCGCAACACGGGGATACACAAATTCCAGCTAGCTAGAGGGTGATGTGAAAACGAGAAAATGTCATGCCATGCTATTCTTAAGAACCTGTATGAGCCGAGAATGGATGTGATTTTGACGATTGGCTTCAAAATAACAGCGGAAAACGAGATAACAAATCACTGTTTTACCTCCTACTTTGCAGACGAGGACTTGTATCGGCGTTTTGTGAAGCATAATTATGTTCTTTCATTCATTCATTACCATGGAATGCGTTTACATTGTGTTTTTACTGTTAATAGCTCGGTTAATGCGGCTCGATCATCTTTAAAAGGCGTTTGCCGGCTGAAGTTCCATGGAAAAGGCATTAAATTATTAGACTTTTCCTCAAGGAAACTTAATCAACCTCTATGGTGTAGTCGCGTCGAGCTGAAGGTGTCGGGTTCGAGTCCTACTTAGTACCTTATCTTTTTTTCCTTCTTTCTTTTTTTCCCGTTTTTTGTGTTGTTGTTTTCCATAAATATATACCTAAATAACTGTTAGTTAATAAAGTGAAATAAACAGCAAGAAAACTATCGTGTTTCCAGAGAAAAGATAGTACACCGTACTTATGGATAAACAATCTGAATTTCTATTATTTATTCCTACCAATTTACTGTGGGAAAACCAGTCGGAGTTGATAACCATTTGATCATTTTCTAAACAACGTTCCCACGAATTCTTTCCATAGACTGATAGTAATTAACACTTTCCAACATAAAATAGGACAGATGGATCACTGCCTAACTGATGTCAGTATCGACAGAATGTGCCGCAGCATTACTATCTTTTAGATACCCTAGTTGATAGGGCAATAAAATCAGGACGTTTGAAGCAATCCCCTGCCAAGTATGCATTGAAAAGTAAAATACCTACGCAGTATTCTCCAGTCTAGCAAGTAGTCTTGTAAGCAACAGAATACTTGTTCACTTTTACTCAGAATCTGACTGGATTTCATAATTTCTCTGTGACCCAAAACCATTGCCCGATTTAGTAATGTGACGAATGAGGCAAATGCAAAATAAGATCGACCTGAGGGAGGTTTTGCATGTGAGCCCGCGTGACTAAGCAGTCCCCACAAACCTTTGTTTTCATTAACACCGCTGGACACAAAACCTCCCCAGAGCCGATGTTACATTGTAACAACCCGAATGCTCATTTTAAAATTGTTAATTTTTGCGTGCCTGATTCTAGGTGAAGCCTTGACTTACGGCGCACGAAAAACTGCAGGGTACTGGCCACGTGGCGTAGAAGGAGTAATCACATACTACATCGACGACATCAGATCAACACTTGCTGTTATGTTTTCCGTTCCATACAACTACTTGTGGAACAAAAATCAGTTTGAAGTTCGGCTGTACAGGGGTATGCCAAAAACGGACGACGATAAGCTTTTCAACGCTATGTATAAAGATGACGTTCGCAGAATGAAAGGAAATAATCATTGGCGTTGGCAGAATTTGAATCAAAGGCTCAGAGCCAGGTGCTTTATGTCCAGCTCTAGTGCGGCGACCATTGACATTGAAATAGAGACGCAGCGGAGGTCAGGATAAGGCCTTCATCCACACGTATCCAGATGTTTTTGAATCCACATTTTTCTGTTTGCTCAAGCCTTCTTGAATATTCACTTCACGGAACTGGACTCGGACTTGTGACGTCAGTGAATAGAAAAAATATCCGGATTCAATAGCGGAGCTTTCGCAGCGCGCGCAGCTGGGCACCATGGGTTAGAAAATTTTCAGTATTAGTTACGTTTGCATCCAAGAAACTTTGGCTCTGAGAAAATCGTCCGTACGTACGTCCACCCCTTAATGTAAGTTTAAAAGCAAAGTTTGTTCCTTTTACACCGACTTCCCCCCAAAACTGTATTTTTCTGTCGAGTATTTGGCGAGAACAGAATGCAACTGAAACGATGTACTTTAATGTACAGCGAAATGTGAAATTAGACAGAAGCACATTTTACCTGCCTTCATAAGATCTTCAAATGTTTTCACGAAAGTAGACTAATCAATAACTCATCTGAGCCTATCTTTCGGACTTTATAAAAAAAATCTTCCAAGAATTACAAAACATTAATGTATACTGTCCGGGAATAGGTGCTTCCGTGAGATAGGCACATAGACTGTACTAATTTTTGTGGCTGTTTTTTGTTGCCGTCGCCTCTTAGCATTACGCGATTTAAAATTTTGTTTGAGTGAACTGTAGAAACTGATATCAACGAGAGCTTCGCTTTCAGCCCTGGCTAAATCTATATTACTATTAGCGTATTCAAAAATTTATACTCTGGAGAGCAGATTTAAATGAGACTTGCGGATCCGTCTGCCGGAAACGTGTGGATGGTAGTGGTAACCGGAAAGAGAAAGTTGCTAGTGATTCAAAAATATCCGGATACGTTTGGACGGGGGCGTTAAATACCCCGCCCTTGTCACCTGTCATTAATTAAGAGTTTATTATGTTAAGCTTAATTTAGAATTAAAATCCGAGTTCCCTTGCAAAAAGTCAGCTAGGTCAACAGAAGTGACTGAACATCAACTGGTTTTTACATCGAGAGAAAATCTTTCCCAAAAGAATCAATGAGGCTGATTTGAAGACTTCGTTTTCACAGTTGTGCTATTCCCTAGTTCTTATCTACCGCCATTAATTTGAGAATAGTTTTGTGGCCTTAAAACGACGTAAGCTGAGCAAGTAAAGGAACAGATGTTAAAATGTAAATATAAGCAGTGATTTAAAGTGATTGTGAAAAACGGTTATGAGGATGGTATTTTGGCTGTTACGATTTTGAATTTGTCTGTTTGATGAAACTGCTACTAGCCATATATGTTAATCAAACTATCACCCGTAAAGGACAAGTGGATAAAATAAAGTGTGAAATAAAGATTCTCATGTGAGCACTTTTATTGCCTGAACAGTATTTATGAGTCTGTTGGATGTGTCTTTTTTAATCGCGTTTTTCAACTGAACAGGGAAGATTTAACAGATTTCTACGATTATTGGCATCCTTAACGAAAAAGGGTAAACTTTAAGAAAATGTTATCATTAATTTTCTTGTAGGTATAAATACGTTTGAGATATCGGCATAAAATTAAAATCACAGTTTTGCAAAACCAAAACTCACCAAAACAGCGTTTTAGTATCGAGGAATTCTCTAAAAACCTTGATTTAGTAGATGTATATATGGAAGGTTTTACACCCAAAATTAGTAGATACACGTGGTGAAGACTGAGCGTCCAAACGTGCAATGCAAATTAGATTTTTTCCTAGCAAACCAGAGTGTTGCAAATATTACCACTCCCTCGGAAATTCATCCAGGATATAAAACGGATCATTCTATGATAACTCTAGAGATATCACTACATTGGAATCCTGGCTCCCGGGAATATGGAAACTTATTTTAACACATCTTTTTTGACTGACTGAAAGCGACTATGTTAGTCAAATTAAGACAATTATATAGGAAACACAGGATGGATATAGAAATGATGATTCAGTCAACCCTTTTCTTCTATGCCGGGGAGTTCGTGGGAAATCACTTTCCTATTCCAAGACTAGGAACAAGCAAACAAAAAAAACGTGAAGAAAAGCGAGAACAAACAATTGCTAGGCTAGAAGAAGAACTCGACAAAGGAAACCTTAATGAAACTGAAAATTCACACCTTGAGGGTGAAATAAAAGGACAAAAGCATTAATTGGAGAAAATAACTGAAGATCGTTTTGAATAATAGATCGATGGACAAGCGACTTTTTTGAACTCCAGGCAGGGTTGTCCTCTTTCTCCCTACTTGTTTGTTTTATCTGCTGAAATGTTAGCCAAAAGAATTCGTAAGGATAAGGACATTAAAGGTATCGTGGTAAACAATGAGGAAGTTAAGATAAGAGAATATGCAGATGATACAACATCAATTTAAGATGGGTCGAAAGAATCCCTAATTATATAATGGCTTGCCTTCAAACTGCTTGGATGATTTTTACGAAGTTTCTGGCTTGAAACTAAACGATAATAAAACAGAAGCCCTTTGGATTGAATCCAAATGTGGGACCGGTAAAATGCAGAGAAATAGCCTACAGTGCAGGCGTTTTCTTCTGGTGCGCGAATGTTTTTTCTCGCGAAAGCGCCATTATATGTTGAAATTCCCGAAGAGAGGAGGAATGATAGGGCGAGTCAAAGGGAGCTGTAGGGTTACTATTTCTACTCTCCCCAATCTTCGTCTGTCATAAAATCAAAGATAGCCGCTACAACAATACAGTACGAACATGAACAAGCTTTTGCCTACCCAAAATACGCCTGCACTGCAGGCTATGAGAGGAACTTTAAAGGGACGCGATCACGGTTATGCGCATGCGCGCCGTTAGTCTCTTCAGAATAAATTTGTCGGGTCAACACCATTCTCGTCCCCAGAGCCCCTCGGCTTAATCCTAACCACGTGACCAAGAAACGACGGGCTCTGGGGACGAGAATGGGTCAACACTAATTTCGAAATCGCCATTACTGGGACAATCATTGAAAATCCTTCATTTTATTCCGACATCCGTCGCTTTGGCCGGCCTAGTTGTACTTTGGTAGTGGTGATTAACGTGTGGTCGTGTTTTTTGACCGGTTACGTTTTAAAAAGACCCAAAAAATAATGTTTGGATCATGGAGGTTCAGAAGAGCATCGTGGCCGTCCGGCAACAGGACGTTCTCAAGAGTCTTTGGAGATAGAGAAGCTTAGCCGATCGATCTGGTATGGTTCTAGGAGTAGTGTGTGGCTTAAGAAAAGAATACAGGACACTTGGAAAGTGGTTAAAGGCATGAGTTCGTTCAACTTTGATTTGATTTTTGACTCCGACCTGTAGTTATACCGCAACGGGCTGCGCGATCTTCACCGATCTGGTACACTTGAAATGTTCCTTGTATCTTTGCTTTACAATCGTACACGTTTAAGAATTGATGTTTTTAAAATAAATTATTGCCTGAATATTCTGTTTATAACCTGTTTTCTTTATGTGTTCTACTCGATGACATTTGTGTTGCGGAACACTGACCCGATGCAACGCGAATGAATTTGTTCATTTGCTGATAAGCAAATGAAATTTATGCTCAATTAAGGATAATCTTTATACTCATACGTTGTGTGTTTTTGTCACCGGTCAGGCGCTATTTGTAGGTATTTCTGGGTTTATACGAGGCGAACTGAGAGAACAGTAATAAAATGTTTGTTTACAAATTTTGTTTGCCGATCGGTGACTGCTTTATTAACGTGGGTATGATCTCGTAAAAATGCACGTTGGTAAATGTTTGTTTCAAAGCAGGACAGTGCTGTAAATCTTATTATTATCGGCTGCAACATATATCTGAGGAGTAGCCTGAAACGTTAGCCAGAGTAGCCAACCGTTGCAGACAGGCGAGACGTCCACCAGAACCAACTGACCTTGAATTCGTAATCGACAAGTCCAGCTTACCAGAACATTTCCTCCGTGCAGATGTTGAAACCCGTGGAGGACGACATGTTATCTTTGCGACAGAGGAACAGCTAGCAAAGTTAACGGAGGCCGAGCGGTGGTACGTGGATGGAACTTTCAAGTTGTGTCGCCCACCCTTCAGTCAGCTCTTTTCCATCAATGCGTTCGTCCGGCAGGGTGATTAAGCAAAGCAAGTTCCGCTCCTGTTTGTGCTCATGTCAAGCAGAAGAAAGCACGACTACAAAAAGGTGTTGAAGAAGGTAAGAGAGCATATTTTAGTAATCATTTGTACATATTATTTACATAAAAACTATAAGAAAGCAAGATTTAGACGTCTTCGTTAAGCAGAGGCTTTTACGCTTTTCCTGATCTTTTTTTCGTGGGTTCGTTTTTTTTTTAATTTGCCGTATCTTATCTCATCTTACCTAAGGTTTTAAGGATCCTGCCGTCGTCCCATACAGTACATATGAAATCGCAAATCCAGTAAGTAGGTTAAGCAAAATTGACTAGTTTAAAACTTGAAGAAATAATCAGTATATAATATATTATATATATTATATATTATTTCTTGATTATGTTTTTTTCAAGGGGCGGGTGTCACTCGGACAACTCACATGTCCCCGCTTGTAATAAGTATCAGTTAGGATTTCCTTTAAAATATATTACTGCGCTTTTCACAAACATGCGAATTCTGTAAGTCACCCTTTCACGTCACTTTTTCTTTAAATTTTGTGTTCGGCGGGGCTTGTGTCACTAACCTTGTCGTATTCTTCTTATGCTATCGCTCTTCAAATAGTCTTCGATTAATCGACGTTCAGACATGTAGCAAATTCGGACGTAAACAAACACATTTGTTTCGTCCCACAATCTCCACCAGTACGTGTGGTTAGTTCTGCGGTTTCGATCCTTTGTTTTAGTGAAAGCCTCAACTTAAACTATGAAAACACACTGTTTACAACATAAAGACTTGGTTATTGCATGGGTACGAATCATCTAAGCTTTGGGTACGAATCATCTTAGCGTTGGGTACGAATCATCTCAACTTTGGGTACGAATCGTCTGGGTACGAAACGTCCGTGGGTACGAAACGTCCGGTAAGCGCAAAGAATAAACT